CCCCTCGATGTGAATTTATTCTGAATCTGACCTTCATGACAAGCCACATAAAACCCCACAGGGCTGATAAACACCCGCTTGCAACCTTAGATTTCTACTCACTCAAGATGGGATTCTTCCAGGGCAGCCCCAAGCCCCGTGACTGGGACTGTTCTGACCACGAGCCCACGCAAGAGGCATCTGACCACGAGCCACCAGCGGAGCAGGACTTCCCCCTCGCACCATTTATAAACCCCCCCAACTTCCCCCCTCACCCAGCAGAAAAGGGAAGGTCAGAAAAAACCAGCAGGACGCAGGAGAAGCGGGGGAAACATGCAGAAGGCGGCAGTGCTCCACAGAAGAGGCTGCAATTCCCACTGCTGGTGTGAGGGAAGCGGGGTTTGCTCTTAACCCTCTCAAACCGCAGGAGGGGAGCACCAAACCTCACTTGCTCCATGGCGGGGGGGGTTTCCAAACCGCTCGGATGCAAAGAGCCCCGCGCGGAGGAAGGACCTTCGCCTGCAGGAGCGCAACTCACGCTCGCCGCTCCGGCAGGAGGAACTGCAAAACGCTGCCGTGAGACAGCCACGTTCTTCACAGCTCATCTCACTCGAGGTCTGAGGCCAAGCAGGACAGAAGGACTTGTCACAGAGGTCCCGCTTTGCACGTCGAGGCAACGCCCAGCGTCCAGCATTAAGCACACGCTGCTCCCGTCACAGCAAGATCAAACAGCACATGGTAAATCTTTCAACTCCTTACCTGTGAAGAGGGGGCTGAACACAACCGGGGAAAAGGCACTTTGAGTTCTTGTCAGTCTGTGTTTCCTGCTGGAAATCAGAAAAAACATCTTTAGTAAAGATGAGGAGACCCAGGGCATCCCACCAGACGAAAGCACCATTTGACATCCTCAAACCAGGAGAACTTTCACCTTCCTTTGGAGAAGTTCAAGCCAGCTCGACGCTGCTTCGACTCCTGGAGCAGTGCTTTGGCCTAAGTAGGGCAGTCAACCAGCAAAGCTAGGTCTCCATCCTGCTACGGAGCAAATCTCTAACTAGGTAATTAATAAAGCCTTTGGAAAGAGAAACCCCAAGCAAGTAGGGTAACCAGAGCCAAGGAGCTCTTTCACAACAGACATCACGCTTATTTCTCTGGACCAGGTGTTGCCAAACGCCTTCGACAAACAGGTCAGGCCCGCGTGCAATTAGGGGTTGCGCCTCGAGCGAGCTGCGTTTGGAGGACACGATCTCCCCAAAGGGCTTCACGATGCAGGTGAGGAGGAGGAGAGCTGAACCCGAGCCGTCGAGATGGATGAAACCAGCTAAAAACGCACAAATACCAGCGACTCCTGTGAAGCTTGCTTCTCAGATCAGCAGATTTACACCGACGCTGTAGCCAGCTCCGTGCTCTCCCCACTGAAAACCGCTCCTTCCAGCACCTTCCCTACTGCAGGGCTGAAGGGCTTCATCCAGATCGAGGTGGAGAAAACACCAGTAAACCGAGGCACAGAGCGTGGGACCCCCAGGACTTGGTTGAGGTGAGTAAAGAAACGCGTCCCCGGTGCCAGAAACTCGCTCCTGCCCGAGAGAAGCGCGCAAGCACGAAGCTGAGCGCAAGATCTAGGGGAGCTCAGAGACCAGCTCTCCTCCCCGCCCAGAACACCAGCCCTGCCGCTCTCCCACGTCTTCCTCGCTCCCCACCCTCCTCCCAGCAGCGCTTGACCCCGAACCTTAATCCTGCCTCGTGTTTCAGACCCAGCTCCGCTCACAGCCTCCTGCGAAACCTGGACAAAGCTCCAGATAAAACCAGCTCCGAGCCAAGCAGATGCAGCTCAAGCACCCTCCGAGGAGAGGAAACCCGGCCCGTATCGCCCTGGGAACGCGGAGCAGATGGGAGCACCCCCATCTCCTCACAGGGCACACCAAACGCTTCTCTTGTTTGCGTCCAGACACGTCACTGGGTCACACAGCTGTGAATAAACGTTTAATGCTATAAGCTTGCAAATGAAAATATTAAGAGCACTCATCATCCCCAGATATAAAACCCCACTAAGATGTTTGGAAGCGTTTCTCATTTTAAGCCTCTCGCACCTATTGGGTTGGATTTCTCCCTCCAAAAGGGGAACAATTCACCAGCCACACGCAGACACAAAGTTACTCTTTGGACTAATATCAACTAACCTTGTAATATAGTAACAGCTCTGTTCCCACCCACTAAGCCAGACGGAAAGGAGCATTGCTGGGATTTTGCTGTTACCAAAACAGCCGCGTTTTATGCCAACATTTCACAGTCGTCGATTTCTGAGATTCCTCGTTTCTAGCAAGCTCACACCAGCAGCAGAGCGATAGAGAGGAACAACTCGTGTGGACCAGATCTTCCACTTGCTGGCTCAATCTCTGCCAAAACACAATTTTTCCATCCTCCCCACAAGTCCTGCAGCATCTAACAGATGCTGAAACCCACATTTGATACCCGAACGCTGCTGCGTGGGATCAGCACAGCCCCGTGGAGCTGGAGAAACCCCAAGGCGGACGTCACTGACAGATCCTGCGCAGATTCGTGCACGTAAAACTGGGAAACCCTTCGAGCAAATAGGGATTTGGAGGGGGGTTTAGGATTTTTATTTTAGGGTTTCGATGCACAAAGATGCGTTAAAAAACCCAAGGTCATCCATGCAGGTAACTTGGGTACCAACCCAGCACCGATGCACAGCAGACATCGGGTGCAGCTCAAACCCACCAGTCACAGAACCAGCACCTCACCCCCTCCCCTTTCCCTGCCACGAGCTCGGCAGTGCTAATCACTGCCAAAAAATAAAACAAAACAAGAGCAAACACTGATATGACCTTTAAATACCAACGCCTAGGCCCTGGGTGAGAAGTCACACCTTGGTTACTCCACACTCGGTTTCTGAGCCTCTTGCAGCTCAGCAGAGCCCGACTATTGATTTCTCGATAACGGGGCTGGTTTCCTTCCTAAGCGCTGCTGCAGGCAGGAGGCAAAGCTGCCCCGTGCTTGGGCAGCAACTCCAAAATACCAGGAATCCTGCTTCTTGTGAACGTGTAAAAAAAGATCCAGACTAGATAACACCCACTGCAGACCAAGGCGCACCCTTCACGAGTCCGCAGAGAGACTTGTGAGTCAGCCATGAGAGCTCGACAGCAAGCAGAGCCATGAATTAACCCAAAATTTGCTTTGAGCCCACCTCGTCAGCCACGAGCGACTGCAGCAGCGACTCGTGGGGAACGCCAGATCCGTCTTACGCCAAGGACCACGTGCTGGGAGGCAGCAGCTTGCAGCTCTTAGCAGAACCAAGGAAAGGTTTTCACCATTCCCCACCACGCCAACCAACCAAGACGGGTGTAAAGCAGCGGACAGCGGTCATGAGCGTGGCGTTAAGTCTATAGCAAAACTCACAGCAGAAGATCGAGTCACCGCGCTGCCCGTCTCAGAACCGAGGGAGCAGAGCAACCAGGAGCAGAGGAAAAGAAAAGCAGCATCTGCTGAGGCCCAGCATTCACCTCCCAGCAAGCTCGGGAACCAGATGATTTTTAAGGTCCCTTCCAACTCGAAGTATTCCACGGTTCTACAAAACTGCACCTAACCTGCTGCTGAAAGTGTGGGCACCCCAGCAACCCGCCAGCATCGCCGAAATAATCCAGCCCTCGTCAGCAGGAGAGAGGTCTCTTGGAAGTGGAAGCAGCGCAGCCATCCTCGAACCACAGGAGTTGCTGCTTGGGGCACCTTGAAGTAACCTTTGTTAAAATCCCGCTTAATTAGAGCGGCGGAGCTGCACGAGAAGTGACCGTGAACCGCCCTGACCAGAGGGGAGACCCCGGCAGCCACACGGCGCTTCTCTGCTCCCAACCTGCCAGGACACGCCGCCAGCTCCCCTTCCCGGCACCGGGAGGTCCCGGGGACTCCTCGCTCGCATCAGGCTCGAGGAGCGAAGAAACCACAAGCCCATTAGCAAAACATTAAGTCATTACAGGCAACTCGGCCCCATTTAGTCATTTGTGGGGAACGGAGCCGTCCCACACGCAAAAGTGAGGCTCCTCGAGGGAGGACCCAAGCACCCTGACCCCTCTCTGCTTCAAAGAGGTAATTTTGGGCTCCGTGCCCAGCTGCCTGTCGGGCTGCTCCGTCAGCGCTGCAGGTCATGCCTGACCCCAAGGTCAGCATCTTCAGAGCAAGCCTGGAGAAAGTTTCCTGCTCACCATCAAGGGGTCTTCAGTTGCACTGAAGAGGCAACACATCCCAAAAGCTTCACACGAGATTAATTAA